TGCACAGACCTGGGTGAACTGACAAGCTACCTTGGCTTGCGGATCACCCGGGACAGAGCACGGCGCACCATCACCTTGACTCAGTCACACATGGTGCAGCAGGTCCTCCAGCGCTTCCGCTTCACGTACTCCTCGCCTCAGTCCACTCCTCTGCCTACTGGTCACTCGCTCTCAGCTCTGCCTTCGGATGAGTCCGTAGAGCCGAGTGGCCCGTATCTAGAGCTTGTGGGCTGTCTCATGTACCTGATGACCTGCACTCGACCTGACCTTGCATACCCTCTTAGCATCCTTGCACGCTATGTCGCTCCTGGCCGTCACAGGAAGGAGCACATGGATGCTGCTAAGAGGGTGTTGTGCTACTTGTGCAGTACGTCGGGCATGGGGCTAGTGCTTGGAGGGCGAGACCGAGTTGTACTCACTGGACACTCAGACGCTTCTTGGGCGGACGACCAGGCTACTCAGCGGTCGTCTCAGGGTTACACCTTCAGCCTTGGCTCTGGCTCAGTTTCTTGGCGTTCTACACGCTCTTCTTCTGTTCTCAGCTCCAGTTGTGAGGTTGAGATCTACGCCACAGCCATGGCGGCCCAGGAGCTACGCTGGCTCACCTACCTGCTGACCGACTTGGGAGAGCGGCCTCGTTCTCCTCCAGTGCTGTACGTCGACAACCAGGCTGCCATTGCCTTGTGTGAGGAGCACAGACTGGAGCACAGAACGAAGCACATCGCCCTGCGGTACTTCCTTGCACGAGAGCTACAGCAGCGTGGTCAGCTTCGTCTGCATTACGTGGCCACTGAGGCCAACACTGCTGATGTGTTCACCAAGGCGCTTCAGCCTTGTGACCATCAGCGCTTCTGTACTCTTCTAGGCCTTGTGCCTACTGGACCTCACTTGCTTACCTCTTGACTTTGCTTGTACTGTGATCTCTATATATATACCTGCATGCTTACACCTGCTAGGTTGTGTTCACTGTATCTCTTGTTGTATTATCAAACTGCATGTGAACTGGTCTTGTGACCACTTGCTTGTGCTCGGAATTTGTGTGGTATCCTTGAGATCCACCCTGAGCTTGTGTTGCTTTGCTTTGACTGGGTTTGTGACCCCTTGCTCTCCCCACTTCGCCTATGGGGGTGTGTCAAACATTATATGTTATATTTGTGTAGGCTGTAGTGGGTTAGCCTGTAGGGGGGTCACAACTCTAGGGTTTCCTATTTGTACTCTCATTTCCTTCTAGTCCAACAACACTTGTTCATTCTAACACGGCAGACCACTGCAGACGTCGGGCACACGTCTGCCGCCGACGCCGCCTGAGCGGCTGATCTACCACGTTTGCCTCCCGCTGGCCGCCTTGACTACGCTGTACGACAATGACAAACTAAAGTCTTTCAAGAAGCATTAGACAACGACAATGGCATACTTGAAGATGGCACAGAACGAGTAAGTATTCAAACCTTTGCGCATGCAAAAAATGTTCTTTAGTTGTGCGCTCTTTATACTTATTTATGGTTGTTAACTGACTACGCGTTGTTATGCCTGCAATTGCGTGGAGCTGACGAACCAGTGCGGCATGACATTGTTTCGAAGGAGGAGTTGAACAGCATGGCATACCCGCTTGTGTATCGGATGGAGGCATTACAAAAGAAGAGTGTCATGGAGGTGGAACGACTTGACAAAGCTCTACAGTACACACTTCGTAAAGGTACTTTGGGGTTGTACTTCGACTTGCAATTGTATTCGATTTATAGTCGATCCATCCATTTCAATAACTAATAACCCCCCGTTTTGCATATGCGTGTGTGAGTATGTGTGTGTCTATGTGTGTGTATGTGTGTGTGTGTGTGTGTGTGTGTGTGTGTGTGTGTGTGTGTGTGTGTGTGTGTGTGTGTGTGTGTGTGTGTGTGTGTGTGTGTGTGTGTGTGTGTGTGTGTGTGTGTGTGTGTGTGTGTGTGTGTGTGTGTGTGTGTGTGTGTGTGTGTGTGTGTGTGTGTGAATGTGTGCGTGTGTGTATATGTGTTTGTGCATGCGCGTGCATGCGTGTGTATGTGTGTGTGTGTGTGTGTGCGTGCATGCGTGTGTGTGTGTATGTGTATGTGTGTCTGTAGCGTGTCTGCGTGTGTGTGTATGTATGCGCGTGGTTGCGGGTTTGAGCTTTGGGCTGCTACCTTACTATCGCAGAGTGCCTTATAGGAACAACGCTTTGTCGACACTGATTTCGGCAACCTGTACCAACAACTCGCGCCCGACATCCTGCACATGTCCCTTCTCAGCATATACAAGCACATCATGGAGGGTCTCAAGTCGAAGTTCAGTACAAACACCCTGCGGGAGCCGGACGCATCACTCGAGCAGATCACCAAGTTAGCAGGCACTCGTTCTTTCGGATTCATGCACACACTGCTGGCTAATCTAGCGGTCACAACCCCTTCAAGGCTTTCCACCATTAGGCACTGATGTAGTTGATGGCGAAGTGGACAATTTGACATTTCGTGCAGTGGAGCTGTACTGCATGTGGCACAGGGAGGCATGGCATCACATGTAGCATATTGACGCTTCTCTGGCGAACCTAGACGAGATTGCTAGCACGTGAGTATGATAAAAGAGTCGTCGCACTTAATTGGATGCAAGAGTATGCATGCTTTGTTTGCTCTAATCCATATTTGCAATAAACCTTCTACGTTGTCTTTGTGTCGTGTGCTTGCTTTATGTCCGGGATTATTTCGATGCTGATGGATGAATTCACGGTGGACCATAAAGCATCAAGTTTCAACGTTTTGAAGATTAACGTGATGATGCGTGTCAGTGACGACATCAAGCGTTGTGTCATCCCAATTCACTACTGCAGCGATGTCTACGAGCATGCGCACGTGGCGGTGATGAAGCAACCATACCAAGCATCTAACAAGCGGGACGCCGAAGAGTCAATCACACGGCGTTGCCTTACATCAGAGCTAGTCGAGAAAAAGACCGTTGCCGATGAGGTTACTGATGCTCATGCACGTACAGTTGCCGTTCAGTAGGTGTATGTATGTGGAATGTATTTTCCTTAATGTTCTTTCGATCAGTGGATTGTGTTTGTTGATGAGCCTTGCTGATTTCCAACGTTCACGCCTTTCTAGCTAACTCTTCCATTGCCACATAACATGTATGCCTTCTTATAAATTTTAATGTTTGTTTACATGTCTGCAGGCCATAGAAACGGGGGTGTGCCTACAGTCACAGGAACGATGTCGAAGTTACTTCTGGGTGACGACTGTTACAAGAGTTTCAGGGCATACTCAAGGAACGTCCCAGAAGACCATGACCTTTTGGAGGAAGATATCATATCATACCTTAAGCAAGAGCATCCCGATGATCACAGACACTATCATTGGGTGGTGGAGGTGCATGTTGGTGTTACAGTACCTGCAGGTGATGATTTTACGAGGTATAGCAGGCATCTGCAGTACGCACGAGCAACTCCCACCTTTCATGGTGGACCTTGGTGTTCTAACGTGGATATCGAGGGTGAGGATGCCAACAAAAAGAAGGTGGTATGGCATGCAAAGCGTTTCTTCATGTCCACTTTACGATGGACAGTGCGTATTTATGGCGAAGGGGGCATGGAGGAGAGGGAGGAGCAGTCCGTGGAGCAGCTCGCATTTTGTCGTTATTATGGATCCCTATCACAGTCTGGAACTATGGATATGAAATCCCTGAACCGGTGGCCTTCCCGACGCGGGTACAGGGTGGTGTCTGTGGAGGGCATTTTGTGTGTGCGCCATATCGTTCACGCCGACGACTCGCCCAAGATTCTACCAGGTTTGTTTTTGTTTGGTGATTGGTAGCATGTCCGACAATTGCAATCTCGTATTGCACTAATCCCCTTCCCTTCGTAACTTACATCGCAGGAATTGACAAAAAACGGGTTGTGAAAGAGCTGAGAACTCTGTGCCCGGTCTTGGCCAGAGCTCCTAAGATCGAGCAAAAGTTCCAAGCGGGATTGATAGCCATCCTCATGACTCCCGACTGGCAGCAATTGTACCCCAACCTTGTCAACCTTTGGGTGGCGATTGCAGTGTTGCCTCTCAGCACTGCTGAGTGTGTGAGATGATTCTCTCGCCAAAACCTCATCAAGACGTGTCAGAGGGGCAGTATTAAGGACTGTAGGCTCAGTATTCTGTTGTGCATGTCATTGCTAGACTATGAGCTAGACTTGCCAGGAGTAGTTGAGATATGGCACAGCTACAGGAAGCGCCGGCCAGTCACAGCACTTGCTGCAAGACACAGGGAGCCCCCAACGGCTGGGAAGGAGCCTGTAGAGGAGCGCCTCAGTCAGACTCTGATTCAGATATGTGAGGATTGTTTTTACCAATGCTTTCACAAAACTGCACGATAAACCTAAAATCTGAAGGTAACGCTCACAGTTCAGTCTAAAACAGTTGTGTTTGCCTGCATCTTCAGCCAAAATTTTTTAGGGAACGCTGACAGACAAAGTCTCAGGAGAGGTGCACGCTGATCGATCAGCATGCCTCCAAACGAATATAGGGGCCTGATGAGCGGCCAGGGAAGAGCGAAAGTGGGCCATGAGCACCACTCGTTGGTCTGCCCAGGCAAGGCGGTTTCATTTCCCGCTCGAATCAGCCACCACTTCGGGCGTCCAAGTGCATGCGCCCGGGCTGGCCAACAGGTTGACATTTCAACACGCGTGCGATTTTTTGGATGTGACGGGGTGTCGTCCAACTCGTCCGCGACAATAGCGCAATTCACGCCAACCAATGTAAAATACAGTGAAAGTCGATCGTGCGGATGCTGATCCCCGTTTGTGACACAATACAGTTTCAGCTGATTTCGCGTGTCACAAAGGCACTGAGACACTTGTGTCCCCACAGGAATGTTCCCTTAGTGTCTCCCAATCCTATTTGAGGGCTTGATTTGTGTGGGCCTGGAAAATGGGTCTGGTACAGAAGATTTGCCCTGAAAACTAGGGTAATCGTACAAATTCACCTAGCTATTTAGGGCACTGCTTACAAGATGGGCCTCTCGCTCTCCTCCTCTGCGCTTCCTTCTGACCCCTCCTCCACAATCCTGGGCGTGGCATCCATGACCCTGAAGGCATCGAGGAAGTCCCTCTCAAGCTCGTGCAGTGCGCCACACAGCACCAGCGAGTGCAGAGGCGGGCCAAAGTCAACGTCTGAGAGCTGCTGCATGCTGCCAAACACAATGCACTGCGAGTCGGCACCCAGCCGCGCCACTCCCACACACAGTGAGTCCGGTGTGCAGACTGCCAGGGATGCAGTGAGCATAGGGGGTTGAGGGGAAGAAAGGGTGTGAGGAATTAAGAGGAGCGAGAGGTATTTGTGACGACTGCTGAGGGTATCAGGGAGGTGTGGAGTGGGGGGAGTTGTGGGAGCTGAACTTTGTTTCAAACTTGGCGGACTGGAGCAGTGGAGCAGAGGTGACGAGTGCAGCAGCCAGTCAGCACGCCTCACCATTCTGCTGGCGCTTCTCCTCCACCAGAAGAAGCTGCCGGATGGCCGTGTTCACACTCATGTACCGCGGTGCCTCGTACTCTATCCTACCCCTGCATGCACCACCACCACGAGCGGCACATTTCACAAGAGAGAGCAGTTGGAGGGGGAAAAGGGGGAAGAGAGCATGGCTTCGGTTTTGCATCTTGTGAGGTGAGCCTCGGGTGTGAGAGGACAGCAGAGAGCAGGGGAGAAGAGGGATGAAACTCTGGTCCTCGAGGAAAAGCATGCAGCGACACGCACCCATGGAATGACAGTTTCTAGGAACCACAGCTTTCAACTGGCTTTATCTGCTCCCAGAACCATTTGTCACCTACCCCAGCCTCACCTGCCCCTGCCTCACCTACCCCTGCCTCACCTGCCCCAGCCTCACCTGCCCCAGCCTCACCTGGCCCAGCCTCACCTGGCCATGGCCTCCAGCGATGGCTCCTTCACCTTGATGTCTGGCGGATGGGGGAATGGAGCGAGGAGAAATGAGCACAAGGAAGACCATGATGAAACACAATATGAGAGACCGCGGAGCAAGAGGGAAAACAAGATGAGAGAGAAGGAGCATGAGCAGATGGAGGCCGCGGAGTAGTAAGAGAGGCAGCACATGCATGCAGTCGAGCTCATGAGCCACTTCAATCACCACATGCCATGCCACCACATGTGCTCCATGCCAACAATGCAATTGCGTGCGGCATGTGGTGCATGTGCAATGAGGCCGGCGTAAGTTGGTGTGAGGCGACGGAGGAAGAAGAGGAACGGCAAGCGCATGGTGGGGTACCGAGCAGGCAGAGTGTGTGGAGGTCCCTGGCGGCATTCCCCTGGATGCGATCGTAGAAGCTGTCGGGCTGCCATGTGTCCGTGAAGAACGGAATCGACACCGTCTCGCCGAACCTGAGAACAGGGCACAGCAGGTGGCACAGAGGGCGATGGAGGCATGCAAGGAAGCGAGAGGAGGGAGGTGCAATGAGCCTCGCAGCTTCTTGTGCACCACGCTCACTGCCACACTCAGGGTGGGTCACAGTTGAACTCTTTCAAACGTATCAATGTTCTGAACGGGGAGCATTGTGGTTCAACCATAAAAACTGAACAAAAATGTACAAACTCTGACCCGCCCTCACTGCCGTGCTGACCGGTAGAGCTGCAGGCCGGTGGCGCCGATGGCATTGAGCACGGAGGCGTTGTGCACCACCGCCACCGCCACGCCCTGCTGCCGCGCCCTCAGCATCAGATCCGTGTGCGTCGTGGCACTGTGACACAGGCAGGAGCAGGGTGAGGAGCGCAGGGCGGGAAGGTGGCGGGAGGAGAGTGCGGTGAGTCCACCTGCTGCACTCCATCACGGCTCCACTGAGCGCGCCCCTGCTCTTCCACCGCCAAGGCCTTGCGTTATCCCTCTACAAACTGATACAATGTAAAAAAAAAAACATTGTTGCCTGTTCGCAGCAACAGGGCCCATGGTTGGTGCACATAGAGGGGTGAGGAAGCATGGACGGCAGGCACTCCACTAACCATCGTGCAACCGCATGCACATGAACATCACTCCATGCCCGCATGCACATGAACATCACTCCATGCCCGCATGCACATGAACATCACTCCATGCCCGCATGCACATGAACATCACTCCATGCCCCCACGCGTGGCAGTCCGTGCATGGCATGGCGCACACCCGAAGGGGTCACCAACAACGAGGAAGGCGACGTCCTCGTTAGCGGCCAGGTCCAGCAGGTGGGCGGCACGGCTCTCCACCATGTCCCTGTCCGCCACCCGCACCTCCCTTCCGTACAGCGCCTCCTGCTCGCCACGGCCGTGACGGGGGGAGGGGTGAGGAGTGGCGAGAGGAGGAAGTGGGGAGGAGGGTATGAAAGGGAAGGAGGAATGAGGGGTGAGAGGGGGGAGCGAGAGCGTTGAGAGAGGTGCACCGCAGCGCGAGGGGTGGCCGTATGGCACGTCGAGCCTCGCGACAGTGGGAGAGGGGGAGGAAAGACAGGATGGAAACAGAGCAGCTGAGTGGGAGCAATGGAGTGGGTGGATCAGGGGCTATCGGAGGGAGCATGTAGCAGGAAGGGGCCGTGCGAGGCGGTCCTCATCTGCTTCACCGCACACATCATGGCCGAACCACCGAATCAAGGCATGACAGCGAGCTCCTCCGCAGAGCGTTCATGCAAGGTGATGACAGTCACTGCGGCGGTGAAGCAATCACGCAATCACTCTCCCTTCCCAGCAGCCCCAGCAGCAGTGCGCACCAGTTTGCTCCTATCAACGAGCAGCATGGAGGTGTAGGCCTCGAGGAACACGTGCTGGCAGCGCCGCACCGCCGCCAGGCCGCGCACCGTGATGTCACTCTCGTCGCACAACCCCACGCCCACCACATACAGCATGCTGGTCCCCCACTTCCTTCACCGCTGCTGCTGCTGCTGCTGCTGCTGCTGCTGATCCTCTGATGAGAAGTTCGTTTCAGCAGCAGTGATGGGAAGTTGAAAGCACACGTTGTGGAGGCACGGCACGGCACGGCAGGGCAGGGCAGGGCACAGTGGAGGCGTGCAGCAGTGCCACCTGCAGCACGCACGCGGGGGGAGCAGCGAAGAGAGAGTCTTGGCGCTGTGGATGGGATGGGATGGGATGGGATGGGATGGGAAGCAAGCAAGTTGGAAGGAAGCGGCGGAGAGCGCGGCGCTAATGGAGGGGAGGCGCGCTGCAGTGAGTGCTGTGCTGCAGTGAGTGCTGTGCTGCAGTGAGTGCTGTGCTGCATGGGTACAGGCGGACGCTGTGGGGGCGGCGTGCCACCCACGTGGCAGAGCGGCAGCACGCCACACACATCAGCCGCCTTCCCCCTCTCTCTCCTTTTTCTTCCCCCCCACACCCCACTGCCCTGTACCTGCCGACTTCCTCTCTCATGGCGCGCCCACCCCCCTCCCCGTTTTCCTTGACTCGCCACAAACCCCCCTCCCCGTTTTCCTTGACTCGCCACAAACCCCCCTCCCCTTTTTCCTTGACTCGCCACAAACCCCCCTCCCACCCGTCGCGACCTCCACACCCCACCCGCCCCTCCCCGCAGGGTGCGAGGTGACATGGCATGGCCCATGGTGGGGCCCGACGGGCAACGAGGTGCGACGGAGGGAGGCAACACATGATGCGTGCGCGTGTGGGGTGAGGTGCGCGGCGTGCACGGCGCGGAGGCAAGCAAAGCGGGGAGGTGGGCGGCGGAATAAGCAGAGAGGCGGGGGGTGGGGGGCGAGAGGGGCGGAGCGGGGGTTGGGCGGCGACGTGACAGGAAGCCGAGGCCAGGCGACGCGAGGCTGACAGGGGTGCGTGGTGGGGGTGCGTGGTGGGGTCGCACGCACCTTGCTTGCGAGTCGCGGGACTGGCAGCGCGCCGACGGCAGCCGGTGTTTACTTTGTTGCGGATGAGCCCGATGATGCGGGTTACTAGAGTATGTGGTGGAAGGCGTTGATCGCCACGTGGCGTATCGATGCCTCTCCCGACTGCACGTCAGCCCTGCCCGTCGCACGCACGCGATCTGCGGTCGTGATGGTGCTGCTGTAACCACGCTCTCGGGGCGTTTCTAAAGCTCAACTCGAGTCTCAGGAACTCCTAGTTCGAAGGGTTGGAGTTGGAGCAATGCTCCTCCGAATGTTAGCGAGACCGCTTGCGAATAAAATCACCTCCTCGTACACCTCAGGCGGGGTCCTCATTTCATCGCGCTCAACCTACGTTGTAACCACCAACCAAACCCCCCTTCTTCGCAGCGTGCATCCCAGCCGAGCGCAAGGCAGGGCAGTGCAAGGAACGCGGATCTCAACCCGCACCCGCACTGCTCCTATCTCTTCTCGCCTTTCTCCATTTTCTCCTCAGCCGTACATCGTCCCACCAGACGCTACTAATAGGCGTTGCATAAACCCGTCGGGCTGCCGCCATGGCGGGGCGTCGCGAGTCTGTGCGGCTCGTCGTGCGACTCGATCCCTTCGCCACCACGCACATCAACTTCGCGCACCTCCTTCGACAAGCTTCCCCCGCACAGCCTTCCGCGCCTCTTCCGCCGCTTCCTTCGGGGCCGCTTCAGTCGGCGGAAGGCGCGGGAAGCGGTGAAATTCGCGGCGAGGCGGAGGCGGATGGCGCAGCGGCGGCGGGCAGCAGCGAGAAGGAGCGAGCGGTAGGCGATGCGCAGCCGGGAAGTACGGCGTTGCTGGTGCGTCTGACTGCTGCGCCATGTCGACCGCCGCTGCGCTCGTGACTCCACGTCTGGTTACTATTATCGTGTCGCGATAGGCATTTTGCGAAGCCGCCGGGTGCCCATCGCGATTCCTCCCATGCTGTGTGCCTTCCTCTCTAATTCGCTGCTATTTTTACTAAAAACAGTTTCCCTTATTCCCCCGTTTCCCCACCTCGGCAAGCAGGCGCGCGGCAGGGAGCCCAAGGCGGCGGCGGTGCTGGTTGATCCGCTGCCGGAGGCGAGGAACCGATTCAGCGCCGTCATCGACAAGATCTCGCGCCTCTACGCCGTACGGCACGTTGTTGCTTCTCTTGCTCTCGCAGTGACCATGAGTGCGCGACGTGAGTGAATGGTGTTGTTTCGAGCATGATGCGTCTGCAAACCCAGACGAACCCTGATTGCTCATCGTTGTTTGCTCGCACCTGCGCGGCTCATGTGTCGCTCTCCTCTCCGCTGCTGCGTGCGCGCAGGGCTCCGACAGCGACGACGATGACGATGACGGCGGCATGAATGATGGGCGCGCGGCTGCAGAGGGGGCGGACGGGGGAAGGGCGGGGCAGCGCGGTGACCAAGGAGCAGCACGGGGCGGCGAGGGGGAGGGGGGGGAGGGCGAGGAGGGGTGGGAGGGGTGGGAGGAGGGTGGAGAGTGGGAGGAGGAGTACGACACGGACGACCCCTTCATCGATGACTCCGACCTCGTACGCTGCCCATGCCCTCGCCCATGCCCATGCCCATGCCCATGCCCATGCCCCCCACCCATGCCCATGCCCATGCCCATGCCCCCCACCCATGCCCATGCCCATGCCCATGCCCATGCCCCCCACCCATGCCCATGCCCATGCCCATGCCCATGCCCATGCCCCCCACCCATGCCCATGCCCATGCCCATGCCCATGCCCATGCCCATGCCCATGCCCATGCCCATGCCCCCCACCCATGCCCATGCCCATGCCCATGCCCATGCCCATGCCCATGCCCCCCACCCATGCCCATGCCCATGCCCATGCCCATGCCCATGCCCATGCCCATGCCCATGCCCATGCCCATGCCCATGCCCATGCCCCCCACCCATGCCCATGCCCATGCCCCCCACCCATGCCCATGCCCATGCCCATGCCCCCCCACCCCCATGCATGCCCACGCCCCCCCACCTCCCTGCTGTGCTGCCCGTGTGGTGTCGCAGTGGGGAGAGTGCTGCCGTCAGCCATGCTGTGCCTTGCTTTCGTCATTCCGAGCTTTGCTTCATCTATTTTCCAGTGACTATGCTTCGCCTCTCATCGTGCAACTCACTTTGCCACATTGGGTGGTGCTGCATGGGTGGTGCTGCATGGGTGGTGCTGCATGGGTGGAATGGCATGCATGGGACATCATCGCATTGGGGACGACATGATGGCATGGCATGGCATGGCATGGTATGGTTGGCAGAAGGAGTATTTTTCCTCCAACCGCAAGGCAAAGCGAGCTGGCTTCTTCGTCAACCGATCCGACTCCCAACACTCACCGCCCAGGTGCTTCCCTTCCCTTCCCTTCCCTTCCCTTCCCTTTCAATCCTTCTCACACCACACCTCCCCCCGATTTCCCTCACTTTCCTTTCGGAGCTTGTGCTTTTCGCCATGCTCGCCGCAGTGCCATGCCATGCTCCTCCACTCACACAACGCACACGTCTCCCTCTCAACCTTCTCTCATCACTCTGCCGCCTTCTATGTGCTCATCTTCAATCCCTCTTCACCCTTCTTTACCCATCACTCCCACTTCCCACCGCCTGCTGCCGCTACTCGTCCGTCCTCGCCTGCCACCAGTCCCGCCTCGCCGGTTGGGGTGCCATCAGCGGCAGTGCGGGCAGCAGGGGGGGCGTCATTGAGGGGCACGCTGCGGGGCGTCAAGCAGGCGGCCAGGGCGGCAGGGGAGGTGCTGCCAGGCACGGGCGGGCAGGGCAGGGGCGGGCAGGGCAGGGGCGGGCACAAGGCGCAGCACGTGCCCTCGCTGGGCGTGCGGCGCAGGGGGGTGCTGAAAGGGGGGTTTGGCGGGCAGGGGGGGCGCGGGTCAGGCGTGGGGCACATGGTGATTGGCATGCGCGGCAGGGGCAGGGGCAGAGCGAGGGGGCGCGGGAGAGGGCAAGGGAGGGGAACGGCGTGTGGTGCTGCTACTGCTAACGCTGCTGGTGCTGGCAGTGGCGGTGGCGGTGGTGGAGCAGATGAGGGTCGCACTGGCCTGGCAGCTGCTGACCCGCATGCCCTCTCACAGCAGCCGCCACACCAGCAGCAGTAGTAGCAGCTGGGCGGTGCGCTGCTGGTTGTGGCAATGGGTAGAGTGGGACAGGTGTGCTGAGAGGAGGCAAGAGGGGGGACTGATAGAGGCAAAGATGTGAGGCATGCAGCAAAGAATGGTGCTGCTGTGGCTGACCATGTGAGTGGCTGACCAAGTGTGACCAAGTGTGACCAAGTGTGACCAAGTGTGACCAAGTGTGACCAAGTGTGACCAAGTGTGACCAAGTGTGACCAAGTGTGACCAAGTGTGACCAAGCGTGATCAAGCGTGACCATGTGTGACCATGTGTGACCATGTGTGACCATGTGTGACCATGTGTGACCATGTGTGACCATGTGTGTGCATGTGAGTGTCCCTCTCCTCCCAAGACATCTTGGAAGAGCCACGTGCATGGCAGTGCCATGTGGTGATGGTAGTGCTGGCTGCGTCTCTGTAGTGCTGCCACGTGATGGCATGGCATGGGTCATCACAAGGGTTTCAAGACGGATCTCACATTCGTGACGGGCGCTCAACCATCTGCCATGCCTTCTTCTCATTGCATCTCATGCCATGTATGCAACAGCACCACCCACTGGCTCCCATGTCCACATCACTTGAATCGTATGGGCATGCAGCTGTGAAGTGCCATGGCAGGAGTGGTGGCATTAAAGAGTAGCACTGCTGCATAGCTCGTTACACAGCTCTCACCGCACATGGCACTCCATCTTTGTTCTCCGCTCCGCAGGCTCGGCACATGACAGACGAGGCTGTTCTCCATGCAGCATCGCGGCGAGGGGCTGTACTGTGGAGTGCCGAGGTCGCTGTGAGTGAGGTGCAGTGTCCGATCCGATCCATGGTGAAGGGCTGCTTGGCCTCTGCTATGGGGCCAGTGGTACAGTGCCCTCCGTGCAGATAGGAGGATCAGGAGGATCATGGAAAGACTAGAGTAGGGACATTTGAATGATTACCGAAGTTTGGTTGTTTAGAATGTTTGAGGTGCGGTAAACGAAGTCTTCGCCACCACTGAAATGATTGCAGCTGATACAGTACATAGACACTATCCAGGGAATTACAGTGTTCTATTCTGAAACATCATCATTTGATTCAGTCTTCTGACAAACAAAGCGAGTGCAGCTGGCGCTGTTCCCCGGACTAGAGAATCAAGTACAGCGCGAGTTCCACTCCGCGATGTGGCACATGTACTTCAAATGTACTGCATAACGCTATACGTTTTAGAGATGGAGACTAAATTAGTCGGGAGGCCCTCAGATTGGTTTGAGGGTATGCTGATGGATCAGCGTGCCCCTGCCACCAGCTGTCCAAATCAGCGTTGGTGGTTTTCAATATACCTGATTCTGTCAGTGTAAAAATTTTCACTATACTGATCCTTCAGTGTAAAGTATTCCAAGATAATATACCCTAACTTAACTAACTACTACTAACTACAAACTAGCTAGCTAACTAGCTCATGTCATGTCATGTCATCATCTGAAGAAGAAACACTCGCATCATCACCACTGCTGCTACTGCTGCCATCATCATCACTCTCACTGCCATCGGATGCAAAACCACTCATCATGCCCTCATCTAGCTCCTCCTCCACCTGCACCAGCCGGCGGCCACTCCCCTTAACAAACTTGGCCTTGGGTCGCTCCTTCTCTGGCGCGGCTTGCTCCTTGCGCTTGCTGGGGCGCCTTTTCCTGGTGCTCCGCCAGATGTCCACCACCGCATCCCAGTCCATGTCGTAGTCGAGAAGAGACATTGCCAACAAATCTCCCAGCTTGGCGTTGCAGAGACTCGTCCGGCGCCACGACTTATCACATTCTGGCGGGAAAACCCGCGCTCGCACTCGACTGTGCTGAGCGGCAGAACAGCGACGGCAGCCCACAGACGGACTAAGTTGGGGTAGCTGGTCTGCCAGTCGCTGGTCTGCAAGATGGCCTTCAAACCTGCGTGAAAGGGCTGCTCTTCCTTGGGCGCAGTGGAGAGCACCGGCAGGAACGTGCGCAGCTCCGCTCGAGCTGCACGCTTCTGGACACCTGCCAAACAGGAGAGCACAACCGGGTAGAAAGTCAGGCCCTCAACATGGGAATAACGCAACCGCTTAGAACGGCAACGCATACACGCAGGGCATTGGGGTTCTCTTTCTAGCTCACCTGGCAAGATCGTGTCCCGGTTCTTGGCCTGGAACAGATGGACGAGGCCGTGCAGGTGCTCCTTGCACTCGGCCTCTCTAGCCTCGACGGCTTTCGGCCACGTGCGGGGCATGAAGAGCTTCGCCCCGTTCAACCGCGTCAGGTCTCCCAAGCGCAGCTCGAGGTTGTACACCAGCTCGCGGGCGAAGGAGCGGCAGCAGGTGTAGCAGCCTTGCATGCCCCCGCTGCTGGTGGTGTATCCCTTCACGGCCTCCTCGTGCAGCTGGAACGTGTGTACCCGGGCCTGACCCTCCTTGTCCACCCCCTCCACAGTCACTTCACGGCAGTCGGGGGAGGCGTGCCGCGCGAGGAAGGCAGACAGCAGCTCGCTGGTCCCGCCGCCAAACTGCTGGCCACAGTGCAGGTACCGCTGCTCCATGTAAATGATGGTCCGCCTCACCTGGGAGTGCACTGCAGTGAGGTCAACCTGTTGGTAGGGGGAGAATAGGTACACCGGAACAAAAGATTAGAAACTGGGAGAAGAACTGAAAAGCACAACGTTACTCAACAGCTCACCTGACGCTTCTGGAATAGCAGGTTGAGCGCGTTGAGTGCCGTGTGCACATCTGCCAAGAAGAACAGGAAAAAATGAAACTTGAACGACGTCACCAACTGGTACATCGTCTTGTCCGTCTCCTCGAGCATGACGATGACAGCAGGGAACACGCGAACGAATCGGGCGATAGCATCGCCACGACTCAACCAGCGGACGGAGTGGATCCCCTGGACCTCGAGGTTGGTGTGCGTGAACACCTCCTGCAGCTCCTTGAACTTGCGGTTGTAGTTGCTGGATCTGCCTAGATCTTCCGCCAATGCGCGGATGACTGCGTCGATGATGCCAAGCTCGGGCAGGGCCTTAGCCGCCTCCTTTGCAGCAAGCGCCTCCCTGCCACGGGTAGAAAAGCACAGGTGGTGTTATTAGAATTCGCACTGCCACGTTGCACATTTCACACCGCTACAACACCTCCACAGCAACAGTTTACCTGTGTGCGATGCAGTGAGAAGCCACCACGTGCGGGATCTCCAGGCGAAGACGCCCAACGAGGCCCGTGTCGTTTCCTATCATCACAGGTGCCCCATCGGTGCTGATACCCGCCACCTTCTCCAGCGGGAGGTTGATACTGTCAAGGAATTCCGTGAGCTTTGAAAAAAGTGAGGCTGCATCACACTTCTCGATGGAGAGGTTAGTCAGGAACTCTGTGGTGACGGCGTGCTCACGCAGAAAGGTTGCAAACACAATCATGTGCTTGCCTTTGACGCGGTCCGTACTCTCGTCGCAGCTCAGACCAATGAAGGGACTCGTGTCGATGAATTCTCTCTGGCGCGCACGAAGGAATGTCGCTATTGCGGCGGTGATCTCCTCGAATCCGTACCTGCACGGGCATCAACGGGTGTGGTCAGAGATAGCTGCAAGTACATCACACCCGCTGCCATTTGAACAGGAGCAATGTCACTTACGTCGTGTAGTAGGCACCATAACTGCGCTTTGGGAAGCCCGGTGTGCCACGCTGCGCCAGGTGCTGGACGAGGTCCACGTACATCTCGATCGGGGCGTCGGACTTAGCGATGAAGAGCGCCGTCTGAAACAGCGCGAGCAGGCGCTCCTTCTCCACATCTTTCACCTTCGGGTTGTCGTCAATCCGGCGGTTAGCTTTGAGAGCCGCCTCGGCTGTCTTCTGCCTGCGCACAGCGCGGCGGTGCTTCCTTGTGCGCTGATGCTTCCGCATCGCCTGGGTCTGCACATCGGTCGCCCCTTCTCCTTTGGCGCCGAAGTTCGTCCCCGTACCGGCGTGCGCAATGCAGATCTTGCACTTGATTGACGGGAACCCGAAACTATTCTGCAGCAGTACAAGCCACGGGTAGTCAGTAGACCATTGTTTGTTAAACATTAATAAGGCTTCTTGGTATTTCTCCTCGGCAAAGTCGGGCAGTTCTGTATCGGAAGACACCTCAACCGCTTTCCCCTTCATTTTACGCTGACGGGCCTTCGGGGAAGAGTTCCCCGCACCGGACGTTGGTGTAGCTTGACTGGGACCCCACTGGATCTTTGTCTGGTGGTACCTCAGTTTGATACCCTTTTTAAGACGTGGACCTTGCCGAGTAGTTCCGGCAGCGACAGGTTGACGGTTCCGTGTGGGATCGGGAGCGGCAGGTGTTGATCCAACAGCGTCAGGAGTTGATGCGGCAGCGACAGGCGTTGATGCGGCAGCGACGGGCGTTGACGCTGCAGCGACACGAGTTGATGCTGCAGCGACAGGAGGTGAAGCGGCAGCGCCGACATGCGTCGAACACTCGCCCTGCGTCCAGATGGTAGGTGCCTCGGGGCCAGAGGAAGGGAACGGAACGGCTTGAGCTGATGGCGGGACTAACGCGGGAGCAGCTGAAGCTCGTCGCAAAAAGTCTAAGCCAGTAAGGGCGGCTGGCTTCGTGCCTGCGACGGGCGGAGGGCCGTCACCTGCGGGCGTCGAAGCCGCCATGGCTGCTCAGTGCTGCTGAGCGTGCCGAGCAACGAGGGAGAAGCTACTCCTGCTTCAGCTCGAACATCACTTCCTGCAGGGGTAGGAGTGCAGGAAGAGAATGAGGGAGCAGATGGGGGTACCCCCTCTCCCGAGCCGCCATGACGAGGGATCTTGGTCCAGGTCAGGGTTTCCGTCTTTCCAGGCAAGGTGACAACACCGCCACTCAACTCTGCCATCCCTGGCGTGTTGGCGTGGACCCTGCCACCAGTGGTGTGTTGTCTGTGTTCTCATTGGGCAGTTGTGAACTTGGTCGACGGTTCTCTGGTGTGATGGCTTCCAGCGCGGCAAAAACGGTTCGGCGCGCACTAGCCGTAAATACAGCGCATGTGATAAGATTCCAAGTGTGTGGGTGGGGTGGGGTTTCGTGAATCACGCGAAGGAACAATCTGTACACGCGTCCCCCCCCCCCCCCCCCCCCCCCCCCCCCCCCCCCTGCCCCGCGCGGTCAAATCCGTTTCAGGGTGACGCACTGAAGTATACTGATTCGTCAGTGTTACTCGTTCAGAAACACACAAAAACGTCAGTGTGGCAAAATCACATTTACTGAAATTTCAGCCCAAAATGGAAGCATTTACTGATTTTCCAGGGAAAACGGATTTCAGAGCTACAAAATCAGCGTAATCAGCGTGTTTTACGCTGATATCTGAGGCCCGGGAATGATGGCCGTGTTGCGTGGCAGGCTAGAAGTTGTGCAGAGCATGTTCAAGGCTGACAAAGGAGAGAACGAGGAAGACGGAGAGGTGCAGCGCAAGCACGTAAGCCACCACGAGCGAGCGCACAAAGGAGTTGCGCTGCAGCGCACTGCCCACGCGCAGACTCATGGCGTCCAGTGCTCGTGCGGCGCCCACCACGTGCTCCCACACGCGCACTCGCAGCGCCCTCTGCTTGCTCTTGCCACTCGGATCGTCCTCCCTGCTGCCTCGCGCCCTGCGGGTGGGCAGGGAGGTGGAGGAAGGCAATGAAGGTGAGGCGCACATCAGAACAGCGCATGTGCTGCTCAATGAACCCACACATGCGGCCAGTGGGATTGCATGCGGCCAGTGGGATTGCATGCGGCCAGTGGGATTGCATGCGGCCAGTGGGATTGCATGCGACCAGTGGGATTGCACGCGGGACAGCATGCGTGGGGGCAGCAGGAAGGATAAAGGATGAGACATGAGACATGGATGGCCGCGAACGGGCGGAGGCAGGTGGCAATGCATGTGAGGTGCACACTGGTGGTTAGAAGCGCAAGGCACTCACCGTGAAGCGCCAGCACAAACTCCCCACAACCAGCTCAGCCCTGCCACCATACGGTGCTCAGCCCCTCTGCCTGCACCCCACCCCCTGCTCCCCTCACCCCGCCACCGCCCTCTCTCCCTGCTCACCGCCTCGTCCCGCAACCCCCCCACTCTCCCTAAACCGCCCCCAGTGGCGCTGCTCTGCTCCCCCACGGCGAGCAGCAGGTGCGTGCGCTCCCCCCGTGTGTGGTCCAGCTGCTGCTGCAGCCACGCCACCTCACTGCTCAGCGCCTCTGCCTGTGCCTGCCGCGTGGGGAGGGAAGGGAGGCGGGGAAGAGAGTGGTGAGGAGGGGAAGGGGGAGGAAGGGGGGAAGGAGGGGGAGAGGGGGTTCGGGGGAACTATCACAGAGAAGTGACAGCCTGGTATTTTAATTGAACAGAAGCGAGGAAAGAGGAGCCCACTTAAAACATATCAGCCAAACATGCTATGCTGCTTCACCATCACACCTCCACTCCTCTTCGCCCTCCTCAAGTCCACTCCCACCCACTCTGCACTCACCTGCTCGCCCTCCACTCACCTGCTTGCCCTGCACTCACCTGCTTGCCCTGCACTCACCTGCATGCCCTGCACTCACCTGCTTGCCCTGCACTCACCTGCTTGCCCTGCACTCACCTGCTTGCCCTGCACTCACCTGCTTGCCCTGCACTCACCTGCTTGCCCTGCACTCACCTGCTTGCCCTGCACTCACCTGCTTGCCCTGCACTCACCTGCTTGCCCTGCACTCACCTGCTTGCCCTGCACTCACCTGCTTGCCCTGCACATTCTCTGACAACGCCCGCAGGCGGCGCTCCAGTTGCTTCTCGCGCTCCCCTACCACGCACCGCACGGCGCCATGCCCAATGGCGGGGGGGAGGGATGGCAATGACGGGATGAGAGGCAGGCCAGACAATGATGGGACAATGACGGCATGACAATGGAGGGCAATGGAGGGCAATGGAGAGCAAAGGAGAGCAATGGAGGGCAATGGAGAGCAATGGAGAGCAATGGAGGGCAATGGAGAGCAAAGGAGAGCAATGGAGGGCAATGGAGAGCAATGGAGAGCAATGGAGGGCAATGGAGGGCAATGGAGGGCAATGGAGAGCAATGGAGGGCAATGGAGGGCAATGGAGGGCAATGGAGGGCAATGGAGAGCAATGGAGAGAAATGGAGGGCAATGGAGGGTAATGAAGGGCAATGGAGGGCAATGTAGGGCAACGGAGGGCAATGGAGGGCAACGGAGGGCAAAAAAAGGAGGGCAATGGAGAGCAATGGAGAGCAACGGAGCGCAACGGAGGGCAACGGAGGGCAACGGAGGGCAACGGAGAGCAATGGAGGGCAATGGAGGGCAATGGAGAGCAATGGAGCGCAATGGTGAGCAATGGAGGGCAATGGAGGGCAATGGAGGGCAATGGAGGGCAATGGAGGGCAATGGAGGGCAATGGAGGGCAATGGAGGGCAATGGAGGGCAATGGAGGGCAATGGAGGGCAATGGAGGGCAATGGAGGGCAATGGAGGGCAATGGAGGGCAATGGAGGGCAATGGAGGGCAATGGAGGGCAATGGAGGGCAATGGAGGGCAATGGAGGGCAATGGAGGGCAATGGAGGGCAATGGAGAGCAATGGAGAGCAATGGAGAGCAATGGAGAGCAATGGAGAGCAATGGAGGGCAATGGAGGGCAATGGAGGGCAATGGAGAGCAATGGAGAGCAATGGAGAGCAATGGAGGGCAATGGAGGGCAATGGAGGGCAATGGAGGGCAATGGAGGGCAATGGAGAGCAATGGAGGGCAATGGAGGGCAATGGAGGGCAATGGAGGGCAATGGAGGGCAATGGAGGGCAATGGAGGGCAATGGAGGGCAATGGAGGGCAATGGAGGGCAATGGAGGGCAATGGAGGGCAATGGAGGGCAATGGAGAGCAATGGAGAGCAATGGAGGGCAATGGAGGGCAATGGAGAGCAATGGAGGGCAATGGAGGGCAATGGAGGGCAATGGAGGGCAATGGAGGGCAATGGAGGGCAATGGAGGGCAATGGAGGGCAATGGAGGGCAATGGAGAGCAATGGAGAGCAATGGAGGGCAATGGAGGGCAATGGAGGGCAATGGAGGGCAATGAGCGGAATGGAGGGCAATGGAGGGCAATGGACACTGCTCACACTGCCCTCTCTGCTCACACTGCCCTCTCTGCTCACACTTCCCACACTGCCCTCTCTGCCCTCTCTGCCCTCTCTGCCCTTTCTGCCCACACTGCCCTCTCTGCCCTCTCTGCCCTCTCTGCCCTCTCTGCCCACACTGCCCTCTCTGCCCTCTCTGCTCACACTGCCCTCTCTGCTCACACTTCCCACACTGCCCTCTCTGCCCTCTCTGCCCTCTCTGCCCTTTCTGCCCACACTGCCCTCTCTGCCCACACTGCCCTCTCTGCCCTCTCTGCTCACACTGCCCTCTCTGCTCACACTGCCCTCTCTGCTCACACTGCCCTCTCTGCTCACACTGCCCTCTCTGCTCACACTGCCCTCTCTGCTCACACTGCCCTCTCTGCTCACACTGCCCTCTCTGCTCACACTGCCCTCTCTGCTCACACTTCCCACACTTCCCACACTGCCCTCTCTGCCCTCTCTGCTCACACTGCCCTCTCTGCTCACACTGCCCTCTCTGCTCACACTTCCCACACTGCCCTCTCTGCCCACTCTGCCCTCTCTGCCCTTTCTGCCCACACTGCCCTCTCTGCCCTCTCTGCCCTCTCTGCCCTCTCTGCCCACACTGCCCTCTCTGCCCTCTCTGCTCACACTGCCCTCTCTGCTCACACTGCCCTCTCTGCTCACACTGCCCTCTCTGCTCACACTGCCCTCTCTGCTCACACTGCCCTCTCTGCTCACACTTCCCACACTTCCCACACTGCCCTCTCTGCCCTCTCTGCCCTCTCTGCCCTCTCTGCCCTCTCTGCCCTCTCTGCCCTCTCTGCCCGCTCTGCTCACCTGCGGACGGCTGCTTGGCCAGCGCTGCCTGTTGGGCGTGCAGTTGGTGTCTCAGCGATGCCACCTCAGCATCCAACGTGGCCTGGTGACGTGGCAATCGCAGCAGGGGGGTGAAGTGAGTGGTGGGTGCTGAACTGGGGGCTGATGGCAGGCGACGTGAGGCACATGGATGGTGTGGTGCATCATGACATCACACAGAGAAATGTGCGAGAAAATGATTTGGGAGGACACATAGCTGTGAGGAGGGGAGGAGGGCAAACAAGAAGGCAGGTGAAAAGGAGGGGAGAAGGTGCGTGGCAAACTGTGTCAACTCACCAGCTCGTGCTGCATGGCATGCTCACCAGCTCGTGCTGCATGGCATGCTCACCAGCTCGTGCTGCATGGCATGCTCACCAGCTCGTGCTGCATGTCATGCTCACCAGCTCGTGCTGCATGTCATGCTCACCAGCTCGTGCTGCATGTCATGCTCACCAGCTCGTGCTGCATGGCATGCTCACATCCAGATGTCCCGCTCTCCCTCTCCGATCCACCATCCCTCACGTCGTCCCCCGCTGTTGCATCTTCCTGCACATGCCTTGATCCCTCTTGCCCCTCCCCCTCGCCCCCTCCATGTTCTTGCTGCTGCACCTCTCCACCCAACCCAGCACCACCCAAGCCAGCAGCACCTGTGGCATCAGGCAGCGGCGCAGCAGTGGCGGCGGAGTGTGGGCAGGGCAGTGCAGTGGCGGCAGCGGTGCTGCTGTGGCGGGCGGGCGTGGCGGCGTGCAGCGCAGCCAGGCGTGCTGTGAGCAGCCTGTGCCTCGCCTCAAGGTCCTGCCGGATGCCATGGCCATGCAAAGAGCATGGGGATGGGGATGGTGTCACCGAATATGTACTTCGTGCATATGCGGTAACAGTTGGTGCACGGGTGTAGATGCAAGTGTAGATTCAGGTGTAGTCTTTTGTGGGATTACAATTCGAGGGTGAGTTGCTGGGGGGGTCTGGGGGTGATGAGGCGAAGTTGTTGAGAAGGGTTAGAGGAAACATCGAGGGGTGGGAATCCAACGGACCAATCTGAAACAACTGGCCCTTGCTCGAGGCGCACATTGAGAAGTGTGCGACTGAGCCAGTCACAGGTAAATTCAGTAGCCCGCACCCTCTCGTTGCTTTTCTCCTGTTATTCTCTCATATTAGTGGAAAGCTGTTACCTCAGATCTAGCATCCGGTCGCACACCACTATGGGAGGACCTACGGGGTGAGGGAGGAAACTCTTTCATAAGGATAAGAAGAAGGATAAGGACAACATAAGGATAAGGAAGGCAAGGGAGGGACAAGAAGAAGAGCAGGATGCAAGGATGAGGTTATTCTCCGACAATGGGTATGGGGATAGGGGGGAGGGATGGAGATGGGGATGGGGATGGGGATGGGGATGGGGATGGGAGAGGGATGCTTGAAAGAATTGCTGGGTACGCCTTTGTGCTGAAATGCCGATCCTATGCAATCAAGTCTCCAAGCACAAACCATTGTGGTTGGTCAACCCATAGCTGTTGGTCGTCCTGTTAGAATATATCCTATGATGTCATAGTTGTGCTAGTGTTACACCCAATTCTGGGTGTACACTTTGTTCGAGGCGCCCCAACCACTTTGGTTTGGGGCACCCCAACCCCCCTTATGCCACAATTATTGGGGGCCACTTTGGTGGCCCTTGCCAACCAATTATTGGTCCGCCAATAATTGGTGGCTCATCCCAACCATTATTGGGCAGCCAACAATGTTGGCCAGCCAATAATTCTGTGAGCTTATCTCCTAGTTTCCTCACTATTCCTTCTCCTATGTAAGCCCAATGTTTCCTTAATACAATCAACTCTTGAGTTCACCCCTTCATCCCAACTATGGGATTCTCACATGGTATAGAGCTATTTTGGCTAACGCCACCTTCGTCCTCCCTAGGAGATCCTCGGCCTCTTGCCGGCTTCATGGTCTTTGCCCCACCAGCCTGCTCTCCTCCCTCAGGCTTTTCCCCGTGGCATTTGAGGCGCTTGTACGCGCCGACCCGCGCGACGAACGCGCCTACCACTTCGCCCGTCGATTCCGCTTCCGAAGGCGTTTTGCCCGTCAATCCCGCTCCCGAGGGCATTTCGCCCGTCAATCCCGCTCCCGACGGCATTTCGCCCGTCAATCCCGCTCCCGACGGCATTTCGCCCGTCAATCCCGCTCCCGACGGCATTTCGCCCGTCAATCCCGCTCCCGACGGCATTTCGCCCGTCAATCCCGCTCCCGACGGCATTTCGCCCGTCAATCCCGCTCCCGACGGCATTTCGCCCGTCAACCCCTCTCCCGACGGCATTTCGCCCGTCAATCCCGCTCCCGACGGCATTTCGCCCGTCAATCCCGCTCCCGACGGCATTTCGCCCGTCAATCCCGCTCCCGACGGCATTTCGCCCGTCAATCCCGCTCCCGACGGCATTTCGCCCGTCAATCCCGCTCCCGACGGCATTTCGCCCGTCAATCCCGCTCCCGACGGCATTTCGCCCGTCAATCCCGCTCCCGACGGCATTTCGCCCGTCAATCCCGCTCCCGACGGCATTTCGCCCGTCAATCCCGCTCCCGACGGCATTTCGCCCGTCAATCCCGCTCCCGACAGCATTCATTCGCATCGTCACCACGCTTCCGCCCCCCCTTCCAAGGGCCATCCAGCCCACTTCCCCCCTTCCCCCTCGCTTCCTCCTCCTTCGGGCCATCCAGCCCACCTCCCCCTTCCCCCTCGCTTCCTCCCCCTAAGGGCCATTCCGCCCTTCTCCCCCTTCCCCCTTGCTTCCTCCCCCTAAGGGCCATTCCGCCCACCTCCCCATTCCCCCCTCGCTTCCTCCTTCGGGCCATCCAGCCCCCCTCCCCCTTCCCCCTCGCTTCCTCCCCCTAAGGGCCATCCAGCCCACCTCCCCCTTCCCCCTCGCTTCCTCCTCCTTCGGGCCATCCAGCCCACCTCCCCCTTCCCCCTCGCTTCCTCCTCCTTCGGACCATCCAGCCCACCTCCCCCTTCCCCCTCGCTTCCTCCTCCTTCGGGCCATCCAGCCCACCTCCCCCTTCCCCCTCGCTTCCTCCTCCTTCGGGCCATCCAGCCCACCTCCCCCTTCCCCCTCGCTTCCTCCTCCTTCGGCCCATCCAGCCCACCTCCCCCTTCCCCCTCGCTTCCTCCTCCTTCGGGCCATCCAGCCCACCTCCCCCTTCCCCTCGCTTCCTCCTCCTTCGGGCCATCCAGCCCACTTCCCCCCCTTCCCCCTCGCTTCCTCCTCCTTCGGGCCATCCAGCCCACCTCCCCCTTCCCCCTCGCTTCCTCCCCCTAAGGGCCATTCCGCCCTTCTCCCCCTTCCCCCTTGCTTCCTCCCCCTAAGGGCCATTCCGCCCACCTCCCCATTCCCCCCTCGCTTCCTCCTTCGGGCCATCCAGCCCCCCTCCCCCTTCCCCCTCGCTTCCTCCCCCTAAGGGCCATCCAGCCCACCTCCCCCTTCCCCCTCGCTTCCTCCTCCTTCGGGCCATCCAGCCCACCTCCCCCTTCCCCCTCGCTTCCTCCTCCTTCGGGCCATCCAGCCCACCTCCCCCTTCCCCCTCGCTTCCTCCTCCTTCGGGCCATCCAGCCCACCTCCCCCTTCCCCCTCGCTTCCTCCTCCTTCGGGCCATCCAGCCCACCCCCCCCTTCCCCCTCGCTTCCTCCCCCTTCGGGCCATCCAGCCCACCTCCCCCTTCCCCCTCGCTTCCTCCTCCTTCGGGCCATCCAGCCCACCTCCCCCTTCCCCCTCGCTTCCTCCTCCTTCGGGCCATCCAGCCCACCTCCCCCTTCCCCCTCGCTTCCTCCTCCTTCGGGCCATCCAGCCCACCTCCCCCTTCCCCCTCGCTTCCTCCTCCTTCGGGCCATCCAGCCCACCTCCCCCTTCCCCCTCGCTTCCTCCTCCTTCGGGCCATCCAGCCCACCTCCCCCTTCCCCCTCGCTTCCTCCTCCTTCGGGCCATCCAGCCCACCTCCCCCTTCCCCCTCGCTTCCTCCTCCTTCCCTTCCGCCGCAGCAGCCCTCCCGCTGCCGCCGCCGTTTCCCTTCCGCCGCAGCAGCCCTCCCGCTGCCGCCGCCGTTTCCCTTCCGCCGCAGCAGCCCTCCCGCTGCCGCCGCCGTTTCCCTTCCGCCGCAGCAGCCCTCCCGCTGCCGCCGCCGTTTCCCTTCCGCCGCAGCAGCCCTCCCGCTGCCGCCGCCGTTTCCCTTCCGCCGCAGCAGCCCTCCCGCTGCCGCCGCCGTTTCCCTTCCGCCGCAGCAGCCCTCCCGCTGCCGCCGCCGTTTCCCTTCCGCCACAGCAGCCCTCCCGCTGCCGCCGCCGTTTCCCTTCCGCCGCAGCAGCCCTCCCGCTGCCGCCGCCGTTTCCCTTCCGCCGCAGCAGCCCTCCCGCTGCCGCCGCCGTTTCCCTTCCGCCGCAGCAGCCCTCCCGCTGCCGCCGCCGTTTCCCTTCCGCCGCAGCAGCCCTCCCGCTGCCGCCGCCGTTTCCCTTCCGCCGCAGCAGCCCTCCCGCTGCCGCCGCCGTTTCCCTTCCGCCGCAGCAGCCCTCCCGCTGCCGCCGCCGTTTCCCTTCCGCCGCAGCAGCCCTCCCGCTGCCGCCGCCGTTTCCCTTCCGCCGCAGCAGCCCTCCCGCTGCCGCCGCCGTTTCCCTTCCGCCGCAGCAGCCCTCCCGCTGCCGCCGCCGTTTCCCTTCCGCCGCAGCAGCCCTCCCGCTGCCGCCGCCGTTTCCCTTCCGCCGCAGCAGCCCTCCCGCTGCCGCCGCCGTTTCCCTTCCGCCGCAGCAGCCCTCCCGCTGCCGCCGCCGTCCCCCTTCGCCGCCGCAGCCCTCCCGCTGCCGCCGCCGTCCCCCTTCGCCGCCGCAGCCCTCCCGCTGCCGCCGCCGTTCCCCCTTCGCCGCCGCAGCCCTCCCGCTGCCGCCGCCGTTCCCCCTTCGCCGCCGCAGCCCTCCCGCTGCCGCCGCCGTTCCCCCTTCGCCGCCGCAGCCCTCCCGCTGCCGCCGCCGTTCCCCCTTCGCCGCCGCAGCCCTCCCGCTGCCGCCGCCGTTCCCCCTTCGCCGCCGCAGCCCTCCCGCTGCCGCCGCCGTCTCCCTTCGCCGCCCCTCCCGTTGCCGCTCTGGCCTTTCCGTCTCCGCCGCCCTCGCCTCCTCTGCTGCGCCCTCTCCCGTCGCCGCTCCTCGCACCTTCGGCTGACTTGCGCCCTCACCTGCAGCTTCCGCTGCCGCACCCCCCTCCCCCCCTTCTCCCCCCCTCCTTCGGCCCCGGCTTCCTCATTCCGGGGTTGTGCACCACTATAACATTCATATGCTACGGGGTTGTGTTAGAATATATCCTATGATGTCATAGTTGTGCTAGTGTTACACCCAATTCTGGGTGTACACTTTGTTCGAGGCGCCCCAACCACTTTGGTTTGGGGCACCCCAACCCCCCTTATGCCACAATTATTGGGGGCCACTTTGGTGGCCCTTGCCAACCAATTATTGGTCCGCCAATAATTGGTGGCTCATCCCAACCATTATTGGGCAGCCAACAATGTTGGCCAGCCAATAATTCTGTGAGCTTATCTCCTAGTTTCCTCACTATTCCTTCTCCTATGTAAGCCCAATGTTTCCTTAATACAATCAACTCTTGAGTTCACCCCTTCATCCCAACTATGGGATTCTCACACGTCCAACATTTGTGATTCAGCCACCTCTGGTGGCCGTAGCTGGCGATTCTCTTTCCTCTCTACGCCACCTGAACTCGCTGATCATATCAGTATTCTTTTCAGGTAAAGACAGGATGGCACTACGTGTGAAGGATGGCACTACGTGTGAAGGATGGCACTACGTGTGAAGATACTGAGCGGACACCTCTCAGTAGAGAATACCGCATCATCATTACCACCCCATTGGAGCTTGTTTCAATCACAGTTTTGTTCTCCGCTCAATGCCATGCACCCTGTGCTTCTCAATGCTACCAGGAGATCTGTACCTCTCAATGTTGGCAGCCGCCGCAACCGCAAAAACTCACTCGCTTGCCTCGCCTCCCCTCCCCTTGCACCGCTCTGCACCTTCACACCCTTCTCTCCCCTCTCCTCTCAATCATGGATTCACCAAATCTTTCCATTTCCTGCGCGCATCAGCCTCCCGCCTGACCTGAATGCAGCGAGTGACCCGCGAGTGCTCCGCCACGCGCTCCTCCATCTGCCTCTTTATCCGCGCCACTGCCCTCGCCTGCCCTGCCTGCTCCTCCCTCAGCGCCCCCTCCCGCTCCTCCGCCTGCCACAAGCAAGGCAATGAGCCGCAGGCAAATACAGAGCGAAGCATGGAAAAAGGATAAGCATGGATGGGGCAAGCAACGAGGAACATGAATTGATGGCACAAGTGCATGCTAGTTGGGTGTTATCACTCATGTGTGTGTACAAGTGGTGCAAATCGCATAAGACCCATGAGACATGCCATGGATGTCTTGCCACGCACAGGAGCAAGCACGCACGTGAGTAACTAGGAGTCGACAAAAGGGACGCATGTGCACATGAATACTAGGACTGGTGGTTAAATGAGTTGTCCGTAACCACTCCTCGTGCCTTGTCCCGCTTCCGCCTCTATGCGTCTCTTCCCCGCCGACATCGCGGAGAGGCGAAAGTGTGACAAGGCACGAGGAGCGCTTACGGTTGACACAGCAGGCCATCAGTCCTAGTACCACGCGGCGCAACCACACACACACAAATGGGACGCAAAGGGATGTGTGAGGATTCACACACACACACACATGGAATAAACCACGCACTTACTGATCCAGCCAAGCAGCACCCGTCCCTCCTTGAATCCCATCCTTCACACCATATTCTCTATCCAAACTCATCCTTCTCTCCATCACACACATCCCATCCTTTCACGCCCGCCACATGCATTCACCTCGTGCCGTGTCGCAGCATGTTTGGACCTCTCCTGCTCCAGCGCTGACGTGGCAGCTGCCAGCTCAGCATGCAGGCTGCTGATCTCCTGCGCGGCCCTGTCAGCCATGAGCTGTGCTGCCTGCTGCAGCCGCTCTATCTCGCCCACCACCACTGACACCTGGGGGGAGTGAAGGAGGGGAACGGGGAGAGGCAGGAGAGGCAGGAGGAGGCCTTTCAAGATGATGCAAGGGACAACAAGTCTTTCGCTTCCAGCAATATTCGCAACTACTCGCTGCACCCGCGCCTCCATCTGCCTGCACTCACCCGCGCCTCCATCTGCCTGCACTCACCCGCGCCTCCATCTGCCTGCACTCACCCGCGCCTCCATCTGCCTGCACTCACCCGCGCCTCCATCTGCCTGCACTCACCCGCGCCTCCATCTGCCTGCACTCACCCGCGCCTCCATCTGCCTGCACTCACCCGCGCCTCCATGTGGCTGCACTCGCGGCTGGCGTGCTCAAACTCGGCGCGCATGGCGGGGCTGGTCCACACGTGTGCCTCCATGCGCCTGCGCCACGAGCGCATGGCGTCCATCTCCACTGATGGGCTGCGCGCCACCGCCAGCACCCGTGGCACCTGCGCCCCCAACACCCCCCGCCTGCTGCTGCTGCCCGCCATGTTTTTGCTGCCTGCCATGCTGCCGAGACTCGTGGACTGCAGTGCAGCCGCGCTGTCACTCTCTGCATTGCCAGGCTCCTCTGCTGCTGTGCTGCTGATCATGCTCGTACTCACAGCGGCTTTGCCAACGCTGCCGCTCGCGCTGCTTGGGAGCGTGACCACACTGGCAGCTCCGCTGCTGCCACTTGTGCTCCTGCTGCTTCCCCCAACATCACCTCTCCCTTCTGCCACTGCTGCACCATCCCCCTCATCCCTACCATCTGCAGGTTCTCCCGTTTCTCCAATTGGACTTTCCTTGCCTTGTGATTCTTCTCCTGTACCCTGCGCCTGCATCTCCTCACGATCCCCCCTCTCCTCCTCACCAGCGCCCTCCCCTCCGTCCTCCCTTCCCTGCATCTCCCACTCGCCACCCCACGCCTCGAACTCATGCGCATGCCACTCGCCCGTGCCGCTCAATGCGCTTCCCGCGCCACTCCACTTGCCGCCTGCAGCAGCAGCACTCTCCCTTGCACGGCTAAAGCCACCACCGCTGCCCGTCACATGCCGCACGCCTGCACGCGCACTGCCCTCCTCTGCGTCCCACTGGCCCGCACCTCCACGCCCCTCACCGCCCAGGCTGCTGTTGCTCGCAAGCCCCCGACCACTCGCGCTCCCACCACTCTCCCCCACACCCCCACCACTGCCATGCGCGCCCCAACCGCCCCCCTCCCCCTCCCCCTCCACCACCCCGCCCAGCACCTCTCTACCCCCCACCCGCCCCTCCCCGCGTTCACCCCCCGACTCCAGCCCTCCTCCGCCCGCCACTGCACGTGGCCCCTCCGGGCCTTCCCAGGTGCGGCGCGCCCCCAGCGGCGGCAGCTGGTCGCTGGCGTACCCGGCGCTGGCGTACCCGGCGCTGCTGGTATCGCCGTCGCTCGCGTCCACCCACGCCGAGTCCGACGCCTGCCCGTCCCTCGCCGCGCCCCACTCGCGCCGGTGCTTCCTGCGGGGAGGGGGGAGGGAAGAGGGGGGGGAAGGGAGAGGGGGGCGGGGGGGCACGACGGCAGGAGACACGGTGTGCTGTCGGCGCTCCGCATGGGCGGCAGCGTAGAGGCACGACGAGAGGCTCTGCTGAGAAGCAAGGCGGTTGCTACTGGGGGATGCTAGTCGTTGGCATGAGGCGCGGTTACGGCGAGCGAAGCGAGAGGGCGCTGGCAGTTGGAACGAACGACGCGAAGCTGCACGCACCTGCGATGAGGGTTTGTGGAGTCGCTCAAGCTCGCCGCTGATTGGTCGACCGCCTCCAGCACATTCGACGCCCACGACAGGAAGTTAGAAACCGGCTTGCGCTGCATGGCGACGGGAGAACGGCCCAGATCTTGACTCGCTTGCGCGCTAAGAGAATTCGAGTCGATGGGGATTCAACAGCTCTGAGAGTTCACGAAAAAACACTGCTCGCTAAGAGTTCCTCGAAAATCTTTTGGACTCTTCTCGCTCGTACCAGCGCAATGCCGTTTTGAGTTTCGATATTACCACTTGCGAAACTATGCTGAAATTCGTGTGAGAGGAGGCACGAGCAAACACTACTGTCTTTCCTCTCGTATTAGCGCAGGTGCGCTTCTTATAATGAAGCAGGTTTTTTTAGGGGGTGCTCTTATAGTCTAATGTTTCCATAAGAGCATGAGACCAATTTGACGTATTTTGCCAAGAGAATTTATCTATTGAAGAATCATCGAAATCGTGCATGAATAACGCTTGAATTGACCAATCAAGAGTGGATTCGGGTACGGTATCTGCTGCGATCAGAAGGGGTATTGTTCCTAGGATCTCTTCATGGAGGTTCGTACACAGCTTAGGTAGTGATGGTGGGCCCTTTGACCTCAATAGCAGAGTGAATGTAAAATGCTTGAGATAATTAAAACATGCAAATACAAGGATACAAATATGAGTACATGGGGAATTCGAATCGACCTAGCTAGCCATGTACTCTAAGGGGTACCGTATGGCCCCGGATTTAGGCGCCGGCCTATTACAGGCGCCAGCGCTTCTATCTGGAGCATGGCGCTTATGGCCGATCCTCGATTATAAGCGCCCCCCCGGAAAACCATTACTTATTATAAGCGCCCCGTGCATTTTTTATTTAAATACCAGTTTAAATCGGTAACGAATTTCAGTTTTGCAGCGAGTCAAATCTCATTTTCGCTTCGTTTGACTCGCGAAGACCTAACTGGCTGCGCGTCCAGTCAGGATGTGCTGGCATGCCTGCAAACTGACGCGAATTTGCCCGTGTACAGGAAGCAGAATCGCTTGCGCGCGATTCTGCTTTGTGACGCTATAATGGGAAACTATATCCTAGATCCTTACTTTCAGATTTCTCTCATATTTACCCCCAGGTTTACCCAAATAGTCCAGCTTTGCGAAATTCTGCTCACGCGAGGCCCAAAGTATGTTCAAAACTGGTCCTGCGGGGCAAGACAAAATTTCGACACGTGTCCATTTCGTACCAATTTTTTTTGACGGGGCAAACAAAACATAATACCCCTAGGGAAACAGGACACATTTCGGGAGGGATCAACCCTAAACACCGGGCGGGTTCCCGTGTTTAGGGTCGTTCCCTCCCGAAATGTGTCCCGTTTCCCTAGGGGTATTATATTTTTTGTGCCCCGTCAAAAATTGTTGGTGTGAAATAGACACGTGTCGAGATTTAAACCCCGCAGGACCAGTTTTGAACATAATTTGGGCCTCGCGTGAGCCAAATCCCAGAAAGTGGGACTTTTTGAGTAAACTTGCGGGTAAATATGAGAGAAATCTGAAAGTAAGGATCTAGGATATAGGTTCCCCGCTATAATAGTTCGACTCGTTCGAAATGGCTACAACGAAAGGTACAGTTATGGTACCTTTAAAGTGAAAAAATGTATTTGTCATTATATAAGCGCGGGCGCTTATGGCCGTTCCTCAATTACAAGTGCCACCCCTAAAAAAAAAACTTATTATAAGCGCATATGCACTTCTATTCGGGGCCATACGGTACATTCCCTTAATTAGATTCATTCTCAACCGTGCGGCGCGTAGGGTTATGAAACTGTTCCCGCAAAATTCCTCTTGCTTGCAGCTGCCCGATGTCGTCTGCTCCGACGGTCCAGATGCGCCCCAACCGTCTGACGCTTCGAGTCAATTCTGACTCTTCTTCATTCTCGTTACTGCGTGCTCTTTTAGCTGTGGTTAGGAGTGCTCAGTAATGTTCATCATTCGTAACACCCCCCTTTCACTCCTGACCATAGCTCGACTTGACTTGCTTGACCACTCCTGAGTTCGGAGCAGTGCTGGTACTGCTGGCGTGGCAGTCGCTTCGTGAGAAAGTCTGCTGCCATGTCACCTTTGGGGCAGTAGGTCAAGTCAACCTTGCCTTTGTCCACTTCGTCCTTAACAAAGAAGTACCGTAGTGCAATGTGCTTCGTACGGTTCACGAAGCCAGGTTTGTTTGCAATGCGGATCGCGCTTTGGTTGTCACAGTGGAGGCGAAAGGTAGGCGATCCTGGAATTTTTGCCTCTTGTAAGAGTTCCTGCAAGTAGAGGCCTTCGCGAACTGCTGCAGTTGCTGCGATGAATTCCGCTTCGACGACAGGGCAACCAGCTCCTATATCTGCGAGTTCCAGGAGATTGGTTCCGTTGGTTCGAGCCGGAACAGGAAGCCAGTCCTGGACTATCGATTGTCGGGATCTGTTGCGGGATCGGCGTCCACGTAACTGATGAGGTTGAAGGATGGGGTCGGTACTCTTGAGTAGCAGAGTCCAATCTTGGGCGTTGAAACGAAGGGCCAAGTGACTTGCGATGTAGGAGAGGTCTGGCCTGCTTGTGATAGACGTGAAGAGCAGGCATCCCAACTGTTGCTGATAAGACTGAATGCCAGCGGGGGATAGGGCTTTGTTGTCAGGTTTGTGATTCGGTCCGGGAGTTCGGTAGGGAGTGGAGAGCGGTGCAGGTGAGATGTTGAACCGCTTCCCTAACTCCTCTGCATACTCAGCTGCTGAGAGATGAATAAATTCTGGCGCGTAGGAGATGTTGAGGCCTAAGAACTGCTTCACCTCGTAGCAAGTGATATCGACGCGCCGCGCCAGACTCTTCTCGAACCGCTCCAGTAGTTCGTTGCTCGACCCCGTGTAGAGCATGATGTATTCCCCGCGAAAATCGTGGCGGTACATCCCAGGATCATGAGGCATCTGCTTGAACCCGATTTCAAGCAGGATGTTGTGCAGGTACTGCTGCCAGAGCCTTGGCGCCTGCTTGATCCCGTAATGGGACTTGTGCAGCTCGCATACGCGCGAATCCCCTACACCGTACGTATGAGGCTGCTCCACGTAGATCACAACATCTATTAACGCGTACAAGAACGTGTTTTTCACGTCGATTTGGCGTAGAGGCAGGTGTCTAGCAGCTGCGATGGTGAGCAGGTTTCGGACGGAGGTGTGGCGGCTGACCGGCGTGAATGTCTGATCGAAAACAATGCCATGCCTCTGGTCGTATCCGCGCACCACCCATCGCGCCTTGAAGCGTTCGATCATTCCGTCAGCTGCGGTCTTCACGCGGAAGACCCATTTCCCCGATAGAACCCTCGCGCCTTTAATCGCTGCGCGGTCGACTAACACCCAGGTGTCTCGGGATTCGAGCGCCTTGATCTCCACATCCATTGCCTCACGCCACTCCTTGCTGTGTGGTCTGGTGAGAGCTTGGCGAGGGTTTCGTGGCTCGATGACTCGTGGCGCCTTTGAGGTTGCGGTGTGTAGCCCAAGCAGCTGCAGCCCAGAGACGGTGCTGTCGTGGCGATGCTGCGGGATGACTTCCTGCACGTCATCGTCGTCATCACTCCCTGGCTCAGGTGCTGCTGGTGGCACTGCGCCGTTGTTGCTTCCACCCGTTCCGCCTATTCCTTCTCCAGAGGAATCGTCGTCATCATCATCACTGCCGTGACGATCCCCCCTTTTGAACTCGCCCCTGGTGTCTTGCTCCGGGATTGCTGCAGCGGCTTCGTCCTCGGGTGTTGCGTAGCTGTGTCCGTTATTTGCGTAGACACGATTCGCGTTGGTTTCCTCGTCATGGCGGAACTGCTCAAGGAAGAGGCTTTCGTAGAAAATGATGTCACACGCGTGGGCGGTCTTCTGACTAAGAAGATCCACGATAATCCACACCTTATGCTCGTGGCTGATGACGAGGTGAATACCCCATCGCGTGCGGCTGGCGAATTTGACGAGGGTTGACGTCGGCGGGCAGTATTGCACCATGCACCCCCACAAACGGAGCATGGATGTGTCCCCCTTAGTCCCGGTCCACTTGACGTGCGGGGACAGGTTGCCGGTGATGGCGGTGGTTGATAGCAGGTTGTGCACCCGCACGGCGTGGTGCATCGCGTAGGTCCAGTAGGTAGGCGGCAGCTTCGACTACTTCATCAGCGCCCGCACCTTCGTCATAAGCGAGCGGTTCGTCCGCTCAGCTACGCCCTGCTGCAAGTGCGCGTAGGGGAGAGAAACGTGGTGCTCAATCCAGGTAATCCTGCATCTCCTTGCTCCTGAAATCTGCTGCGCCGTCAGATTGCCAGATCTTTAGCTTCTCGCCAGACTGCCGCTGCGCGTGCGCCAGCCAGAGGCGAAATACTTCGTATGCTCTGCTGCACGCTTCCACGTTCATGACCCACATATAGCGCGTCCCTGCGTCGATGAAGGTGAGCGTATACAGCTCGTCGTTGACTCCGCAGTGCCCCACGTTTAGGAAATCATTGTACACCTTGTACAGCTCTGGGTAGCGGTTCGTTCCTGGCTCGAGCAGCGGGAACGGCTGGTGGCTTAGCGCAGCTTCGGGGCAGACAGTGCAGTTGCGCGGATGCGTCGCGCCTCTCACTTCGGTGCCGTCGGGGCGCAGGAATGCGCCAGGAGTGAAAACACCCGTGTCAATGCAATTTTTCAGCGTCGCGCGTGAAGGATGTCCGAGGCGCTGGTGCCAGAGTGCATCGTCAGCGCGAAAGCCGGAGGTGCGCATGTAGCGCGCGCGAGCTTCTTCGGGGTCTTCGTCAGGTACAGGGGCAGATTCCGCTGCTGCTTCTTCTGATGCTTCGTCTTCGTCGTTGGCGGTAGTTAACATTAGCGCCAAAAACTCTCTTTCGCGAACTTCAAAGAGGGGGATATTGGTCCCAGGGATGGTTCCAGGGACAAAGGTGGGTTCACGCGGCTCGGAAGCAGGTCTGTATACAGTTCGGGGCGGGGTTAACGGTTCGTTGCCCCAATCGATGGTGTCCCAGGGATCGCGGTGCGGCGGAATGTCAGGAGGAGGTAGTGCGGGTGGAGCACGGCGCGGGGGACGACCA